CCCGTCTTTTCCTTGGTATTGTGCAGAGTAATATCTAGGTGTCGTAGGTAGGGGGCGTACTTTACCACAAACTGCGACAGTCGTGGTAGATCCTCTGCTCCGCTGACCTTTGACCAGACGTGCCGTAGATTGGTGATGGTGCCACTGTAGTCGGCCAGCAGGCTGATGGCGCTGTCCAGGTGGAGCACCTCGAGGTTGCCGATGGAGGCGATCATCGCCCGCAAACCGGCCTCTGTCAGCGAGGCTCCGAGAAGCTCCAGGTGGGAGATGCTTTTGCCGAATCGCTGCCCGAACAGCTTTAGAGTCTCCTCGTTTAGTCCACCGCAATCGTAGAGTCGCAAGCAGCCGAGGGCTTTGGCGCCACAGTTGGCAATCAGCTCAACGGCGCCCGGTGTCAGTTTGATGTTGCCCAGTTCGATCATCTTGATCTCCGTTTCATTTTTGGCTGGATCTGCCTTAAGAAGCGCCGACAGCTTCTCCTCGTCCAGTGGCTTCTCCTCGTCCAGTTCATTCTCTCGAGTGCAGAGAATCAGCTCCTTTCGGTTGTCTGATGTTCGGTGGGCATCGTCTTCACAGAAGTTGCGCTCACGATCGCAGAGACTCACCTTGATTGTTGTTAGATCTGTGCTGGCCATGATCGGCTAGTAATGGTGGCAGGTGATTGGAAGCAGGACAACAAGAGCAAACAAACAATGAAGATCACTAAAAGAAGAAGAGTCGAGAATCTTGAAGTGAACAGCAAAAGCTCAATCGACAGGCACAGCCCAAACGCAGTGCAGCGATTACTTCACTCGATTCGACGATTCTTTTTCTCCTCTTGCCACAGAGACAGGCAACTGCAATTTAGTGGTTGTAGTGCTTTTCCACGCCAATCGCCGAAGTGTGCAGTTTAAAAATAGCAGCCTTCCATCATTGCTGCCAGCAAAACCCAAAAACAAATCTGGTGTTCCTTTTCTTCGTCCCTCGTTCACACATCACTTGCTCTCTTCAGCATTGCTCCCCACACTGTGTGTGACAGTTACATAAGTTGGCAAACTAAATATACCGCTGAATATTCTCTCACTTTTGCCAGTTACACATTGCCCTTTGCTGGTGCAAATGCTACTCTGATGATCAAGCAAAAAGACATGTACTTTAGGTTTCATTTAATTTTATGAATAACTTTACGTAGAAAATAATCGCTTATGTCCATTCGGATGAGATTCGTAGCAGAATTCCCTCTGGTCAGGTGAATCCTAACATTGCCTCCATTAGATGGCGGTCAAGTTGCTGAGCAAGACAAATTTTTTGACAAAATTTTTTTGTTGTTATCTTTCTGTTGAGTAATCACAACGAATCCACTGCTTTTTGCACTGACATGTGCCTGATTACTCCCACACCCACCTAGGATCTCTCTGGCCCTCTTTCCAAGAATAGGCCACTAACAGAACCGCCACTTAATCATGCCGGTAGTACCGGGACTTTCGGCAATCCCGTCTGCTACTGTGACCGCCTTCAGTAGTGCTCCCGCACTGCAGTCACAATGCACATCACCAGGCAAGCAACCGATGATCTCCGCCACCACCACTCTCAACGTGGACCTAGACCTAGTCCGCGAGAAAATTAGCTTAATGAGTCGCTCAGAGAAGGTTCTGCGAATAGTTTCGTTCACGGCCCAGCACAGCGAGTTTCCACCAATCACCTGCCAGGGCAACGATCAGAAGTGCACCAAGTGTCAGAAAAATTCCGTTCCCAAGTTGTCTTGGATTTTCCAGTCGTCACAGTTTAAAGAGAAGTTTGAAGTGCCAAAATGTCAATTAGAAACAGGTATGTTCTTCTCGTTTTATTGAAAGTATTTCCTAATGTTTAAACTGTCATTAATTTTTACACTTTTCAGAGGGTACTTATTTGTGGTTAGTGAACGATGATGAGCTAACCAAACTGTGCTGTGCGCTAATCGACTTTGAAGCATTGCTGCAAACCATCAGTCATACGATCTCCTGCAAGTTGCTTCAGAAGATGGTTTTTGAAGCTTTTAAAAAGCTAGCCAATGCAATAAATATGGCGCGAATTTCTATTCAAAGTCAACCAAACAGTAGCATATCAAAGCATCTTGATAACCTGTATATCGACTCTAAATATGCTTACAATCTCGATAACCCCTCCATCAAAGCGGTATGATGCTATTTTGTGGTGTTTGATCACCAAACTGACTTTTGTATTGTATTCCTCACAGGGACTATGTGCATTTCTGATTGAAAAGGAGGCAGATTTTACCGAGCACAAGCAAATGTATTATCGTTACTCACAGTATATCATCTTCTACTTGAACAACTTCATTCTCGACCATCCCAGTGAGCGTTTGTTTTCTTCCTCAAAATACGAAGAGCGATATAAGGACTTTTACAACCGGTGGCTAGCTTGTGTCGTTCTTCCGGGAACCTTTCGAACGTAAGGCATACACCAACATCTGTCAACTTCTGATCAATAATAACGTTTCTTAATTAGTTTTGTCAAATGCAATCTCACTGACATTTTCGGCAGCGAGCTTTTGTCACTGATCTTCCACGGCTTCCGAAGCTCTCTGGAGAAGCACCTGAACGATGAGATAGCCACTTTGCCGACGGAGGAACAGCTGAGCGTCCGTTCTCAGCTAAAGTACTTTACTCTGCCCAACTTTGCGGACTATCTGGGGCGCCACTTTGTGGGGAAAACTACAGCCTCCTTCTGGCAGGCGCCCATTGCCAACAGCACTCGTCGCAGTCGAACGCACAATGGCGGTGTGGCTGCCGGCGATGGTCCCAATCTCAATCTGATGCTGTACAAGGAAATGGAGGGCTTTGTGGAGAACTTCACCAAGCCTATTGAGGCCACTTTTGACAGTCAGGTGGAGGGTGCCCATCTGGTGCTGTCTGGGCTGCCGCCCAATGAAGGCACAGTCGCCGATCGGATCGAGGACGCCGAGAAGGGCTTCGACAGCGTCCTCCTCAGCGGCGAAGCCTCCTTCTGCTGGACGCACTACAAAGTGGCCAGTCAGCGGGCCCTGCTGGAGAAGAGTGCCGCCGACAAGAAGAGTAGTAGCTCTCGGCAGCAGTGCATGAACAAGAACCCCAGACGACTTCATGACATTGGCAGAGATCGAAGGCAGCAGGTGAGTGCGGCGGCGCTGGCGGTGTCCAACGCATCCACTGCTAGCTTCGACTACGGCGAGGCCATTCGACACATTGCCTCGTACATTCTAAACGACTCCCACCTGGTGAAGTGCGACCACCTCTGGGACTACATCTTCCGCGAGCCAGCCCGTAGCACTCTGCTGCAGCTGTTTTCGAGCTTCTATGATGAGCTGGTCAGTCTGGAGAATCGCCTCGCTCAGCATGCCATTACCGTTTTCAACTTTCCCTCAAGTGAAGCTGAAAAGTCCCTAAACAGCCCGGTCAGCAGTAGAAACACATCACTGAACACCTCATCGTCATCATCATCATCCTCTGCGGTTGCCCTGCTGCGACCCAATCCCCGTCCACACTCTCAGATGATCTACGTGCCGGTGGGCTCTTCCAACCTGCTGGAGAACATCTACCGTGATGAGTGCGCCCGAGAGGAGGAGGAAAGTGGGCAGGTTCGATTCTGCCTGGCGCAGAACCAGCTGCCAAAGTCGGACGTGGATGACTACGAGTCGATTAGCAGCCCGTACAACCAGACAGAGCAGCTCAACTGGCTGATTGCATTGCAGAGCGTGTACAGCCAACAGCTGCCGAGAATGGGCAAGGAGTACATCACCCGACTGGTCTTTGACCCGCGTCACATCACTCTGGTGCTGATGAAGGCCGCCAGTAAGGTCATCGGGGGCATCACCTTTCGGCCCTTTCGCGAGCAGGGCTTCTCCGAGATTGTCTTCTGCGCCGTCTCCAGCGCCGAACAGGTGAAGGGCTTCGGCACGCGCATGATGAACTTCCTCAAGGACTACCACATTGCCAATGGGGTGCACTTCTTTCTGACGTACGCCGACGAGTTTGCCACCGGGTACTTCAAGAAGCAGGGCTTCAGCTCCACCATTCACATGAGCCGAGAGCGCTACCACGGCTACGTGAAGGAGTACGAGGGGGCGACGATGATGGAGTGCTGCCTCAATCCGCTCATCATGTACACTGACATGCCGGCGCAGTTGCGCTTTCAGAAGATGATTCTCAATAAGGTCATTGATAAGCGAAAGGACGATATGCCTTCAGAAGCAATAGCCTTCACTGATTTCACTGCCGAAGACAGTTCCTCTTCCTCCTCTTCCTCCTCTTCCTCTTCCTCATCTTCCTCGTCTTCAAAGGGCAAAAGCCGAGTTGTGCCACTGGAGCATATTCAAAAGATGATGACCAATATCAACGCCAAGTGCGACCTCTCTTTGATTGACTTTGCCGATCGCGCCAATGAGCTTCGACCAGTTCTGAAGAGCATCCTTAAAAAGTTAAAGGCGCACAAGTCGGCAGCGCACTTTCTCAAGCCAGTTAGCGCAAAGAAGGTGCCGCACTACTACGAGGAAATTAAGTACCCGATGGATTTGGGCACGGTGGCGGAGCGACTGGCGCAAAACTACTACGTCAGTCTGCACCTCTTTCACAGTGATATGCGGCGAATCTTTGTCAACTGCAGCTCCTTCAACACCGAGGAAACGGAGTTTCACAAGGCAGGCAAAAGGCTGGAGAAGTACTACACTGACCTGCTGATTGACGCTAAGCTTATTCAGTCAGCCATTCGCTAGTGGGTCGAGCTTGGCAAAAACTCACTGCAACAGTCATTTTTTTTCTTTTGTATTTTTACATTGCTTGTTCAGCTTATTATTCACCCTCAATGAAAATGAGAAAAATCACAGTCTTGAAAATGACCTTCCCCATCTCCGATTAAACTGCCCTTTTCCAAAAAATATCTTTAAAGTTTAATTGCTCAACCAAATAAAAGCATCAATGTGACTTTAAATCTGCCTCTTTGCAAAAATAATTAATCAAATTTCTTCTGGGCAGTGCGCACGTCTTTCACAGGCCCATGTTCATGTCGACGTCCATTGAGTTGCCTAGCCCCATGTTCATGTCCACATCGGGAGAGTTGCGGCTAACGGATCGGCGAGGACTGCGACTGCGGCCACGATCATTGTTGCTGTCATTACTACTGCTGCCACCGAAACCGCCATCATTCTTTTCGTTGTCCTTTTGCTGGTAGAACATGAAATCAATGAGGAAAGTGCTACAGAGAAGGAGAGCCTTCACCTCCACCTGGAGGTCAACGGGGAAGTGAACACCGAAGACATCAGCCTTAGTGTAGAGTTCCTTAAAGAAGCCCGGAAATTGGCGAGTGACGGCGCCCACCTTTGCCTCGTCGGTGGTGAGCACCTCAAACTCGGTGTCAAGAAAGTCGAAGCGACAGGGAGGGCCCTCGAGGAAGAGCACCACACCGCCGTTGGCGTCGTGCACGGTGAAACGAGAGCCACAACACTTGAATTGCTGAGGGGAGAAGAGCAATAAGAACTACTTTTGCACACCTCCCAAGCCCCCTCACTGCCTACCTCCTGCACCGTGCCCAGGGGCTGGCCATTGCCAGTGCTGACCTGCAGCAGATCAGGGCAGCCGCAGAGAATGCTGCCAAAGTGGTAGGGTCGCGAGGCACGCAGCACCGGAACGCCAAAGTTGTCCATCACAATGATCTCGAATGGTCGGTCAGAGTGCATGAGGTTCATGGTGAGCACGTCCGAGGTCTCCACACAGTAGTAGACGTTCTGGTTGGCGGCGTTCTTCACCGAGTAGCGGTTGTGCGACTCGTAGCCGGTGAAGACCTGCAGCATGTCCACCTCCTGAATGACCACCAGCTGGTCGACCTGCGTCAGGTACTCCAGACCAGGGGGGCAGTTCGGGTTGACGAGGGCGCGTGGAGGCGGCGGCGCCATCACCACGGGGACCACCACTGGAGCAGGCGCAGGGGGAGCGTACATCGGAGGGGCGGCCATCGAAGGAGCCCCGTAAGGAGCAGGTGCATAGGGACCAGGCGCAGGCTGATAAGGAGGGGCACCGTACTGAGGTCCGTTCGGGGCGGGATAGTATGGGGCCGGTGCATTGGGGACCGGCGGATTTGGCATGGGTGGATTCATTTGGGGAAAGCTGGCAGTTGTAGGAACGGCTGGTAAGCAGCTGGATGGACAACAAAAGTTACTTACGTGGCAGCCTTAGGTCCGCTGTTCAAGGTGTGCTTTAGGTTTTGTTTCTTGCTTTGCTTTTTCTCGTGTGACTTCTTCTTCTTTGAGCTATTTTTGACGTGTGACTTCTTCTTTGAAGCCGTTTTGACGTGTGACTTCTTGTTTGACTTTTTGTGGTGCGATTTCTTTGAGACTTTCTTTTCTTTTGATTTCTTTCTCTGTTGTGCGGAACCTCCCATAACTTTGACAATACAAATATAACTCAAACTGATGACAGGTGTCTACTTTAAAATGGACAAAAATGTTCCAAAAGTTGAGTTCAATTGAAACGGCAAATGCAAAATTAAGAAACTGTCTTATAGGCGCTTTCTACATCGGTTTACAAGCTTTGAACATTCCTCCATGTCCAGGAACAATGTAATCACAATATGAGTAAATTCTTTCTCTATTTTTCCGTTGCTCATCAGGATCTACTGATCCGGCCTCGAGCCACAGCGACTCGTCCTTAACGTCTTCGCCGCTTTCAAACAGGTCGCCAACAACGCCCACAGTGTCCAGTTTGTCCACCTTCTCAACTACAACTGAGACACAGTTCTCTGTGTGGCCAGGTGTAGAAAAGAGGCGAACATTGTCTGTCAGGTAGAAGTCCTTGTAGGTGTGGTCTTTGAAGACATCAAACTCAAAGTAATCGCCTCGTGACTTTTGATCGCCCACATAGTGGTCGCACTTGATGAATAGATTTAGGTTGCCAATGTGGTCAGTGTGGTTGTGGGTGCCCACTACAATGCTGATATTGTCTGGATGAAGCTTACGGTCGGCCAGAAGTTTCACCAGTTTGTCTCGGTCAAACGGTCCCAATGTGTCGACTAGAATGCTCTTGCCACCAGACTGGACCAGGGTGGCAGTGCCACAGGCGTACATGGACATATCCTTCACTTTCCACCGACTGTAGCCCTCTTGCAGAACGGTCACTGAGCTGCTCATGGTGAAGATTCAGAATTTGCAAAGTAAAAGATGTCAGAAAAGAATGTAAAGCTTGAAAAAATGTAATCACAACAAAAACAAATAATTTTTGTTGCATTTTTTTTGTGTCAGCGCGACACCTAACGAGCATTGACAGAAAAGAAAGCATTTTGACCGAAGACAACATCTTCTGCATCTGGAGTTTGTAAATGAATAAATGAACAGCAAATTGTGGTGAAACACCGAGAAGCAGTTGGAGGTGAGTTTGCTTGCTTCTCTGAAATAACCAGTAAGGAGTTGCCAGTTCAGTCAGGAGTAGTGGGCTGCTGGTCGGGAACAGTGTCCACCTTGATGACTAGAATCTGCGAGTCGTGCACCAGAGCGACGGCCGCATCGTTGATGCCATTGGTGTAGTGTGAGCTGCTGAATATGGTCACGCACTTTCCCTGGGCGTGAAAGGCGAAACCTTGCTGCAAAATAGAACAAGCAAAGTGTAACAAACACAGGTCTCAACAACTCCTCCTTACCGGAATGCACTCATGGGCTCGAATGATGTGCGACAGGTGATTGGCGGTGAGGAAACGGCAAATGGCAAACTCGGCGAAGAAGTTGGCAGTGCCGCGACGTTTGTTTGAAGGGAATCCATGCGGATGTAGATAATCGTCGTGGATGATGGTTTGATCAACGGCGATCATTTCGTCGTGCTCGTTATTGTAGATTGGGTCATTCCACAGAATTTCATTGGCCGTAGACGGGTCAGGGATGACCTTCATGGGGCACGCCATTGTGGCAATCTGCGTGAGAGTCGCCTGAGTGGGGGTGACAAAAACATTGTAAACGAGGGTAAAGAGAGAAATATACAAAACCGAAAAATGCTGTAGAAGTACTAACATTTGAGGGGATGCCACCGTGGGCGCAGTAGATGGACTCGTCGATCACCCCCACCAAGGGCAACACGTCAAAGACGTTGTTGATAGCTTCGAAAATCTTGAGTGCCAGCTTTCCGGAGAACTTTTTGTGGCACTCTTTGTGAAAGGTGTGCTCAATCTGCTGTTCCCTGGTCTGCAAAGAAAAGGAGAAAAATTGTTGAATGAATTAATAAAAAACAAGTAAGTTGTTGCCTCGTGGTTGCCGCGCAGCAGGTGGACTCGATGGGGCGCCGTCAGCTTCATGCAGAGGAGGTAGAGGACGCACTCCAGTCCGTAGTCGCCTCGATCGACGTAGTCGCCGAGGAAGAGCATATTGCTGCTGCTGAAGTAGGGATTAGAGCGCCAGAGATTCGCATCAAAGGTCATCAGATCGGTGAAGTTGCCGTGAATGTCGCCCAGAACGTAGCAGGGCGAGGGCACCTTCAAAATGCGAGGGCCGGCGCTGATGACCCTCTGCGCCTGTTCGCAGATGTTAAAGATTTCCGGCGCCAGATCGTTTCGCGTGGCAGCGTTTTGCCAGTCCTTAATCTCCAGGTTGCCCTTCGGTCGCTTCTTCACCACACAGGGATAGAGCTTGGCGTTGATGGCGTACAGCCGCAGCATGTCCATGATCTTATTGCAGACGAAAGCCGACTCAAAGTACTCGTTCTCCAGCTTGCGACGACTGAGGGGGGCCCTCTTGACGTCCTCCTCCTTGTTCTCCACAGGCTGGTACATCTGCCCGGCTCGGTTCATCTTGAGGTTGTAGGGCGCCAGGCAGTACTGCTTCTGGTGGCAGTTCTCGCAGAGAAGCCGCGCCTGCAGCTTCGTCTCCATGGCCTTGTTCGCCGCCAAGTCCGACTCGACACGGCGAATCTCCGGGTAGGCGAGGCGGACGTGCAGCTGCTCCATGGGCGTTCGATCGTGAATCAGCTCAAAAAGCTTCGCCGCTGGCGGCGTCTCACTGGTGCTCGTCTTGGGCAGGTACTTTTCCGCGAGCAGTTTCACAAAATCCGCCCGTTTCAGGCTGCCGATGTGCTCGGTGTGGGCAAGTGCCTCCTTCTTCAGCTTCAGCACGTCGTCGTCGGCGATCTGGAAGGCCTTCGCCGCCGCCTCCAGCTCTTCGCTGCTCATGTGCTTAGAGTGGACGGCGTAGTAGCGGTAGGCAAAGTCGGCCATCAGCTTCATAGTGGCCGCCGTGTGAGTGATGGCCGGTGGCGGGGGAATGTTCTGTTCATTGCCCTCCTCCTCGCCAGTGGAGCTGGTGCTCTGGCCAATCAGCCGACCGACGATGAGCAGGCCAATGATGAACTCTTCAAAATCAATGTAAGAGCGCTCTCGGGCGGCGAAGGCTCGAAAGAGGCCGCTCACATTGCCGGTGATCTTCAGGTTGGCCCGTTTCAGGTAAGCGCCGAAGGAGGACTCGTGCATGAACTCTGAGGGGTAGACGTGCTGGAGGTAGTCGCCGAAAGCACGCAGAATGTCGTCCTTGGTAGTGCCGGTGGCGCCGATTTTCTGCTCACGCAGCTCATCGATGCACTGGTAGGCGAAGAGCTCGGTGATGGCCACCTCGCGACACCGCTCACTGGGCTCCAGTTTGATCACCTTCCCGTTCGGATGAATCATCAGCTGCGGTTCCGGCCCAAAAAGAGGATTCTTGCCCAGGGCTGCCTTCAGCTGTCCACCGGCGGGGTACCAGCCGATGATGGAGTTGTCCGCACAGAGTTTGGCCTTGCAGGCGGCAGACGTCAGTTGAATGCGATACGTTGATCGCACCACAAAGTCCAGGTAGAGGGGCAGCTGAACGCGAAGCAGCTCCACGAGAATGGGCTCGGTGGTGAAAGGCGTCGGAGAAAGAGAGGACATGGAGGAGGAGGAGGAGGAGGAGGAGGGAGAGGAGGAAGAGGAACCGGATGAAGAGCCGGAGGCATTGAGCTTGGCCGACACATCGGGAGGCAGCTTGGCCACGTTCTCCCTCAGCAGCTTTCCCTGGATGAACTGCCCAATGGCGTCCATCCACGACTGGCCGTGTTTGATGGGGCAGAAGGGCAGGTAGAGGCCGCGTCCGTCCACCTCGGTCAGTGCCACCTTCCGGTGAGTGCCGCAGTGACAGGTGAAGATGAGCTGAATGGTGTCGTAGAGGCGTTCGCCGTACAGTGACGTGTACATCATCCAGTTGAGCATCGTCAGGCTGTCGGCGGAGGAACCGCTGCCATTGTTGTCACCATTGCTGCCTGAGCCAGTGCCACCGGTGGCGGCGGCGGCAGCCTTCGGGTGAATAGTCCGACCGACTGAATGCTGGTAGGCAGACTTGCGCGAGGAGAGCGACTTCGGATGACCGCCCACGCCGATGGAGCGATTGGAGCGGTTGGAACGGCTAGACTTTTTGCTATTGGGCTTTGTCTTCTTCCCACTTTGTGACTTTTCCTTGCCCGAGCTGCCTGGTTTCGACTTGGGCTTTGACTTGGAAAGTGACTTTGAATGCGATTTGGTCTTAGATTTAGAAATTGATTTAGATTTAGATTTGAGAGACTTGCTGGACTTGCTTTTGCTGTCGCCTGTTTTTTTGATGGAGTCAGGGCTTTTTTTCTTTTTCGGTTGAGCCTCAGGACTTTTTTTCTTCTTTAGTTGAGTCTCAGGACTCTTTTTGTCCTTTTTCAACGATCCAGCACTCTTTTTAGTCTTTTTTAATGAGTCTGGACTTTTTGGCTTCTTCTTCAGCGACCCAGCACTCTTTTTGGTTTTCTTCAGAGAATCATTGCTTTTTTTCTTTTTTCCTTTCAAAGAACCTGAACTCTTCTTCTTGAGAGACATTCTGAAACAAGTGAACAATGACAGAAGTATGTGGGTGAAAAAAAAGTTGTGCTGAGTTGTCAAATAAACTTTGTAATCCAAAAACGAACGAATAAATCGGTAGATGACACCTTTTTAGAAACTAAACAAGTTCGATTTTGTTAAACAAGTTTCGGTCGATTTTTTTAATTTGAAATTCACACATCAATGCGAATTCGATTTTGATAGCAGTATGAAAATATCAAAATTTTACCGAGAATCCGCTCAAGAGAAAGCTCGTCGAGGATATCTGCTTCAGCAATTACAATGCCCATTTCAATGGATCTCATCAAAGGAAACTTCCAAATATCATTGCCTTGTAAAGAGCTCATCAAGTGGTTGTCCATTCGGTCATCAAAATGAGTTGCAACAAAAGCAGTTTGTTGACATTCCAAAAGGCGTTTGTTTGAGATTCCTGATGGGAGAGTGCTTGCGGGAAGCAGGTGGATCAAAATGCAAAAAAGGATGGCATTTACAACGTATGTTTTTTTAAAAATTTTACTAAACTGATAATCACTTTCACTTTTTAGTGGACGATCTTATACAGGATTTGCAATTGACAGAGTTCGAAAGAGAAGATGATGAGAGTGAAGGCAACAGTTTCTGTGACCAATGTCATTCAAAACCATTCGACTACCTCCTGGAGTGCTGTCCTCATTCTATCTGCGATAATTGTCTTGAGCAGTCTGCAAGTCTTGTTGAAGGCACTCGTTGGGAGCATCTTCTGCAAATCCTCCAACTGGCTCCCTACTCAATTCGTTGTCAAGTGTCCCCCTGCCAAGGTGTTCTCTCTCATCGAGTTCTCGTTTGGCCGGAAAAGCTCTGTTCGCATAACCAAAAAATAGCAATTCTTAAACTTTGTGAGCAGTTTAATGCGGCCAACACAACCTACGGGTTTCCCTCTTGCTCGGTGCCTTTCAGGGCCATTGGGCTTTACTATCTTTTTGTGGTTTTAGAGTACATGTTCAGCTTGCTGACTAATTTATGGGCAAATAAAAATGTCTAAGTTCAAAAAATTGATCTTGTTTTTACTTATCAGAATTGTGTTGCTGTATGGTTGATTTGAGTTGCAAAATTTCTGTCAAAATTATGCAGGATAAAACAATTAAAACTGGTTGCTGTAAATAAAATTTCTGAGAAAGTGGTAACTCATTTTTTATTACACAGATCTTCTAGATTAATAATTAGATTGTCTTTCAGTTACTTGCGCTATCTCTCGGAAATCTCATTCCTTGTACTTATTCTTTTATAGTCACAATGTAACAACTTTGTGTTTCTGTGATAAAACTGTGACCTCATTTTCAATAGAAGCAATCGTTTTTGCTGACAGCACTCATGCAAAGTGTACTATCTGATACACCAGTGCAAGGCATGTTCATTGTCTCCCCTCACACTTTTAATCTGATGAAATGTGCCAGTGTTTAATTTGCTGTAAATTAAACTGACCAATAGCTGATTACCTTCTGTTTTTCGCTGTTTGTTTGGGTATTTTTCTGCTGCAATTAACAATTTCGGCGTTTAGTAGATTTGCAAAAAATGCTGAACTTGATGTTACATGATTTGTTTGTGTGACGAGGTGAAATGTTACGTGTTTTTAATCAAAATTGTTTGTCTTTTTATTACCTTTTATAAAATAGGTAGATAAAGGTAAACAAGTTCCTGTTAAAAGCGTTATATAAAGTGTCAATGCCAATGTTAAATTGGCTAATTCAACTAACCTTAGCATTTCTCCCCTGCATCTTTTCTTCTGCATTATATAAGGACATCAAATAGACGAAAAACTTAATATGCAAACCAATGACTTTAAAAGTGAAAGGTAAGGTTACCGTTTTTAATGCATTATGCTTTTTATATCATACAAGATATAATTTGAATAATCAAAAAAAGTCTGAAGGTGCTTACTCTTTTAACTCATATGTACTTCACGTAGCAGCTTTACGACTCCATTTTCTGAGTTGAGGTTAATAGCATTTGAACAAAAACTGTGATCATTTTGTACTCTTTTTGACTTTTTGTGTAGTTGAAAAAATAAAATTTTATTTGTTATTGGTGAGAACACAGGAAATAAAATACTTAAAATAAAGTAGGATGTACCTTTAAAGTTTGCATTTCAAAAGCTTTATAAAGTCGCTCTAAAAACTGCTTCTTTTTGCCACACAGTCACTTGGAGCATTCAAACAATAACCACCACAATAGCATTCAACAGTTAAATCATCAAACAATGACTTTTTCTAACAGGTAATAACTGTAAACATTTAAAGTAAATTTGAAAATTTGTTTAAACGTTTGCAATGGAAAAACAGGAAACTACTTTCATCTGAAGCAACAACAGCCTCTACTGCCACTTCTGTCGCTGTTCGCCGGCCCATCAAACTACAGAATCTGACCACCAGTGAGGTGACAGTGGACACTCTTCACCAGCAGTCAGTCAAACGGCAGCCATGTTCAGAGGCAATCTGCTACGGTGCACTGATGAAGCAGTCAAAGGAGTTCTTGCTTACAAGTGAAAATGGCTCCAACAACAAAAGACGACTTTTCGCCGACGCTTGCGAATTCTTTGAGCAATACTTTAGCAGTTCAGAGAAAGGCGGCCTAAATTCTCAGGCGTTTTCAAGCCGACTAGACGAGGTGAGAGAGGAAATAGAAAGAACAGGCACCTACACTCACCGAATCGATGAGCTCATCTATGGCTCAAAGACTGCCTGGCGCAACGCCTCCAGGTGCATTGGCCGAATCCAGTGGAATAAGCTTCACGTCTTTGACGCGAGACACTGCACGACAGCTGTTGAACTCTTTGAAGCTATTTGCAGACACATTCAGTTTGCCACCAACGGTGGCAATGTGAGGTTTGTCTTAATCAGGTTTTTTCTTCTACAAAAAAATGTTAATTTTCTTTGTCACCATATTTAGATCGGCAATAACAATTTTTCCCCAGCGGCTAGAAGGACGAGAAGACTATCGAGTTTGGAACTCTCAGCTTATCTCATATGCCGGTTATGAGCAGTCCACAAGTGTAGTGAACAGAGAGGATAAATCAACAAAAGAAGGTAGATCATGCCCTTTGTCTCGAGCTTTTCGTGGAGACCCAATCAATATCGAGTTTACCAAGGTAAACACTTTTGTAGTTAGTTCAGTGATGTAAAAGCCAAGTTTTCTCTTAGATTTGCCAAAAACTTGGCTGGAAAGGAGCCGGCTCAAACTGGGACGTTCTGCCAATTGTCATTTCAGTGCCTGGTGAAGATCCACAAGTGTTTTCACTTCCAGAAGAGCTTATTTTGCGTGTATCAATTGTTCATCCAAAGTAAATGTTCAGATTTGCCGTTTCGTAACTACATTTTATCATGTAATTTTTTTCTAGACTAGATTTCTTTGAGCGTCTTTCTCTGCAATGGTACGCCCTGCCTGCAGTGGCAAACATGAAGTTCGAGGTAGGCGGAATTGAATTTCCAGCCTGTCCATTTTCCGGGTGGTACATGGACACTGAGGTGGCGGTGCGTGATTTGTCCGACCAGCAACGACTGAACATTTTGCCAGAGGTCGCGCGGGAGATGGGTCTGGACACTGCCTCCAATGCCAGCCTGTGGAAGGATCGAGCAGCTCTGGAGGTAAACACCGCCGTCCTCTACAGCTTCCAGCGAGCAAACGTCACCATCGTCGATCACTTCACCGCCTCTGAGAGCTTCATGAAGCACCTGGAGAATGAGAATCGCCTTCGAGGTGGCTGTCCCGCCGACTGGGTGTGGATTGTGCCGCCCATTTCAGGCGCCTTGACCTCCGTCTACCACCAGGAAATGCTCAACTACCACCTTTCTCCAGCCTTTCTCTACCAGGAGGTGCCCTGGAAGACGCACATCTGGAAAGGCGTCAATCGGCTAATGAGCGAACGAAAAGATGACCAGGTGAAGGTGAGCTTCCAAATGGCCGCTCTGATGGTGCAGTTCATGGTTGGCTTGTATGGTAAGCAGTATTTTCGATGCATTCTTCACTTCTGATTACATGGCCATTACCTTTTTTGTTTTTCCTGCAGCGAGAGCACTATCATCACGACCAAGGTGCACCATTCTGTTTGCCACAGAGACGGGTAAATCTGAATCCTTTGCAAATCGCTTGAGCGGCCTCTTTTCCAGCGCATTCAACGTGTCCGTTTGCGCAATGGACGCTTATGAACCAGCTAATNAGTGCACCATTCTGTTTGCCACAGAGACGGGTAAATCTGAATCCTTCGCAAATCGCTTGAGCGGCCTCTTTTCCAGCTCATTCAACGTGTCTGTTTGCGCAATGGACGCTTATGAACCAGCTAATCGTCTACCGAATGAGCAGCTGTTGTTGCTGGTCACGAGCACATTTGGCAATGGTGACGCGCCTGAGAATGGCGAGGCTTTCTGGAAGTACTTGAGTGCTCTCAAAGCAACAGCAAAAGGTAAACAACAACAACAGCAGCAAAAGCCATTTACTGGAGCTTACGCGGTTTTCGCACTTGGCTCAAATGCGTACCCACATTTTTGCGCTTTTGGTCGTCACTTGGATGAAATGCTTGACTCGCTGGGCGGACAAAGGGTGTTACCCTGTGGAACTGGTGATGAACTGGCCGGCCAAGAAACGTCTTTTCAAGAGTGGGCCAATGATGCCTTTACTGGCGCTTGCAAGCAGTTCAACCTGAAAACGCCTACATCTGACGCCATTCCGCAGATGTTGCAGCAGTCAAAGTGGTCAGCAAGCAGTGTTCGACTGGAAGCTGTTCAAGATGAACCCGAAGTGGATGCTGATGAACGATCAAAGCGAGTCGCCTCTACGCTAAGTCGTCTGGCACACAACAAGACAGTTGTCAACTGGCGCCTAGCATCGCGAGAATACCTGGTCGAAACGACGAACCCCTTCTCCGCTCCTGATCACAATCCAAAGACAATCAAAGTGGTGCTGAGCCGTGACACTCCAGTCGACTACCAACCAGGCGACCACTTGGCTGTTTACCCGCAAAATGACCCAAAAATTGTCAGCGGTATCATTCAACGGCTGTCAAGTAGTGCCCACGATCCGATGCAAAAACTAGTTGTCAAGGTCACAACCGATGGTGGGCAAAGTTGGACAGTCCACGAGAAGCTCAATCGTCCGGTGAGTCTTCGTGAGGCGCTTGTTCGCTACCTGGACGTCGGTTCCCCGCCTACACAGCACCTACTGCAACTGCTCTCTGAAAGTGAAGGGCTCACAGAGGCGGACAGGGGACGACTGCTGCAGCTGGCCACTTCCGACGAAGAGTACGAGCAATGGAAGGCAGAGAGGGCCCCTGGCTTGCTGACTCTGCTCGCTGAGTGTCCNGTCCACGAAAAGCTCAATTGTCCAGTGAGTCTTCGCGAGGCGCTTGTTCGCTACCTGGACGTCGGCTCGCCGCCTACACAGCACCTACTGCAGCTGCTCTCTGAAAGTGAAGGGCTCACAGAGGCGGACAAGGGACGACTGCTGCAGCTGGCCACTTCAGACGAAAAGTACGAGCAGTGGAAGGCAGAGAGGGCCCCTGGCTTGCTGACTCTGCTCGCTGAGTGTCCCTCCCTGGTGCCGCCGCTGGAGCTCATCTTCACTCAGCTGCCCGCTCTGCAGCCTCGATACTACTCGGTGTCCTCCTCACCGCTGAGCAGCCCCAACTCCGTCGAGTTGACGGTGGCAGTGCTGCGCTACCAGACGCCTGACGGGGCCGTCCACGACGGCGTCTGTTCGCACTTTTTGCACAGTATTCCACTCGGGCGCAATGTCTACGGCTTCATCAGAGCGGCGCCCAACTTCCACCTGCCCGCAGAGCCAAGTGTGCCGATGATTTGGGTAATGCTGCTGCTGCTGCACAATTTCAAATCTTTTTAAACATTTTGTTTTTCAGATCGGCCCAGGCACGGGCATTGCTCCGTTCCGATCTTTCTGGAACCACCGGTTTGCTGAAAAGAAAAATCGTTCTAAAAGTCAAAAACAACTTGGCAATGTAAAGCTCTTTTTCGGTTGTCGTGACACAAATACGCAACTCTATCGACGTGAACTTGCCTGGATGATTGCCCATAGGGTCATCTCGGACTACTACGTGGCATTCTCGCGACAAGAGGGCAGACCGAAAAAGTACGTTCAGCACATTCTGCAAAACAAATGGGTTGCCAAGGAGATTTGCAAAATGGTTCTCCAAGAAGGAGGCCACATCTACGTCTGTGGGGATGTGGCGATGGCAGCAGATGTTGAGGCAGTCTTGGCAAAAATTCTGAGTTACGACAGTGCTGATGAAGGTAGTGGTCGAGTTATTGGAATGCTTAAGGTAAATGCTAAACAGACAAAATTGTAGGTTGTAATCTTTTCATATCTGTATTACCAGGAATCAAATCGCTATCACGAGGACATTTTCGGAGTCACCAAAAGCGGAATTGCACCAGCTCCAGTTGAAAATGCATCAACAAAAGTTGTAGTTGCACCACTTCGCTTCAAGGCAAAAGAAAACAACTACAGACCAATATTTATTCCTTCGTTTTAGTTTTATTGTGA